TCAATGCATTTGAGATGTGGTGCTGGAGAAGAGTGTTGAGGATTCCATAGACAGACAGCCAAAAAGATAAACAAATGGGTCCTAGAGCAGATCAAGCTGGAAATCTCCCAGGAAGCCAAGCCGACCAAACTGAGGCTGTTGTACTTCGGACACATCATGAGAAGAGAAGACTCATTGGAAAAGACAATAATGCTGGGGAAGGTGGAGGGAAGTAGGAAGAGAGGAAGGCCACTTGCTAGATGGATGGACTCTATTAAGGAGGTCAAGGGTATGGGTTTGCAGGATTTAAGCAGAGCAGTGGTGGAGAAGGGGGGCTTGGAGATGTCTCATCCATAGAGTTGCCATGGGTTGAGATTGATTTGAGGGCTGTTAACAACAAAATCATCCAACTGACTGGGGGCAGTAGGGTGGGGAAATCTATTATCACTATTTCAGTAAGAGCTGTTAGACACTGGAACATGCTGCCTTTAAGAGTGGTAGAGTCTCCTTCTTCAGAGGTTTTTGAACAGAGGCTGGATGGCCATCTGTTGGGAGTGTTTTGGTTATATCTTCCTGCATAGCAGGGGATTGCACTGGATGGTCCTTGTGGTCTCTTCCAGTTCTATTATTTTCTCATCACTGATTAAGGGAATGCTCACTGAACAGCAGTGCCAAGAACTTCCTAATCACTCAAAATGTATTGAAACTTTGTAATAAGCACAATTCAGGAAGAGTTTATGCATGCTAAGGAGTGCCAGTGTAATATAGTGGTTTGAGTGCTGGACTAGGATACTGGAGATCTGGGTTCAAATCTGTTCAAATGTTGAAACTCACTGGGTGACTTTAAGTATGTCACATTCTCTCAGCCTCAGAGGAAGACAATGGCAAATGCCCTCTGAACAAAACTTTTGGAGAAAGCCCCATGACAGATTCATCATATGTTGGAAATTACTTGAGGGTGCACAGCAACAACAATGCTAACATCCCTTAAAGATGTAGAAGAGCCACAATCAATGACAAGTGTGCTTTTGAGTCCCACTGACATCAGTTACATAAAGTCCTGTCTAGCTTTGTCTGTAGTGTAACGTGCCTTGCCCTTCAGTATTAGATGCAGAAACAGAAGTGCACTTGTTTTACATGATGTCCCTGATTCAGTATGTTGTGTGAAGATGTTCATCCATTGTTGTTGTTGTTGTTGTTGTTGTTGTTGTTTGCCTTCAAATAATTTATAACTTATGGCAAGCCTAAGGCAAATCTGTCATTGAGTTTTCTGGGACTGAGAGTGTGTTACTCATCCAAGGTCACCCAGTGCATTTCCATGGCTGAGTGGGGAATTGAACTCTGATCTCGAGAGTCTATACCACTAAACCACTATACCACTAAACCACTATACCACATTGGCTCTCTAGCTGATCTAAAAACAAATATATATATTCAAAATTCCGTGCACACAAGCAAGGCTCTTCAGATCCATTTTGACACTTAAGACAGACCATCTTGTGAGACAAGTATTGTTTTGCAGGTGATGGCCGGTAATGGGTAAAAAGCCACTACATGTGTGCAATCAGTGCACAAAGTTGAGAAAAGAAACTATAATTAAAGAATATGTCTCATACAAGTTAAGCTAACCCAGTAGCTCTTTCCCCCAAACCCTTTGGCGGTACTTCCTTTAAATGAAGGACTGTGCTCACCTGCCTGTGAAGCCAGTCTTCCTACACAGGAGGAATGCTGCGAACTTGTGGAGTCTGTGGTGCAGTTTGGTCCCAGATTTGTACCTTTCTCCAGATGTCAAAATGAACTTTAAAAAGGGCAAGCTATAAGAATGCAATCCAAACATTTAACTAAGAGCTGCAGTTCTTTTAAACAAATCTGCTTTGGCACTTAAAGCAGGATGGTTGGTGCATTGTTTTGTAGAAGGGTGTAGCATTAATCAGACTTCCTGGAGATGGTGGAACTCTTTGAGAAGGTCCAAGTTTCTTTTCGTTCTGCTTGGAAGTGTTTTTATCCTCTGCTTGTTTGGGCTGTGTTTTGCTATCTCCTTGGTCCATCCTATATGCAACTCCTGTAGCCACTCCAGCTTCTGTCCTGCCTGCTATGCCTGTTCAGTATTTCCTCTGTGCTTTGATGAAGAACTTTGTTTACATAATCTCCTTACACAGTCGCTTGTATAAGTAGGGAGGCATAAGAGTAGAAGGCATGTTAGTTGTGGCAAATATTTGGGATGAGGACAGGGCAGAGATATCAAATTCAAGAGCTATCAGGCAAGAAATGCTTCCTTAATTGAACTAAGACACCCATTGCTGAAACAAACTGCAAGCTGATAAATTCAGAGGGATGGAGATTGCTGCCATATTGTTATTTTCATATCATGTCATGGAGGATGTGTATGCTTGGTGGTTTCCATGTAAACAATGCAGAGACTAAAGTCTGAAACATAATTTGATTTGCTCAGCATCTCAGATCTTACTCTCTCAAGCTTCAGGTCCTTTATAGATGCAGATATGAATGTCTGGTTCTCGTGAAACTGTAAAAAGGGGAAAAGGGGGAAACCTTTTTGACTACTAGTGTTTGATAAAGGCTCAAAAACCAAAGGGTTTCTGAGCTTTGTAACCTCTTGTTCAACCTTGCACTCCAAATCCCAAATCTTTATCTTGTTGCTGTCCCTCTTTCATTGCTATCTGACACTTCAGACTTTGGCAAAATATTTGGAATTCTTCATAAACTCTTCTGTCCTGATCAAACAATAAGTTGAGAACTTGACATATCTGTGTTTGCTGACTTTTCAGAGCATAGCATGAATCCTAAAAGTGCTGTTCTGTACAATGGAAACCTGTTCCCTGTTAGGTTACCTTCAGCATCAGCAGAGAACAATTTATCTCTGTTCTCATTCAAGTAGTAGAAAACAACTAGCTTACACTTACAGTGATGGGGGTAGGATAAATCTATTTCCTATTCTATTTACTTTCTGGTCCCACTAGTCCTTTCCCCACTAGGTGTGAACCACACCACACTCTGTGGTCTGCTGTGCAGGGGTTGGCATTTAAAATGGAGTTTATGTTTGGAGACAGGTCCCCCTTCCCCAAGCCTGCTGAATCTAGCACTATCCCATTTTATATATTATAACTGAAAATTGCTCTTGGTCTGGGGTTGAAGTTAATTTTTCAGGCAGCGTGTATTGATATACCACCAAATGTAACTAAAAATGTAACTAATCCTCTGGAGTCAATAACTCGTTTCCTGTACAACTGAGATCAACTCTGGAAAATCATATGTATTTTAGCAAAGATGTTATCATAGGGGTCAAAGAGACAGGCATCGTAGAGCGGCAAGAGGCCGCTCCACCCGTGATTGCCCAGCAATCACCCTGGGACCTTGGCAACCACATGGCCCACTGCCCACTCTTAAAACAGGCCACCACTATGGTCCTGAATGGGTTGCCAGCAAGGAGCACTTTTTCCACACTCCTTTTTCTGGTGGCCTGAGGCTGCCTTAGGTGGCCCAGGAGTGGCTTCCGGCCAATCAAAGGATGTGTGTCATCTGCACACTATGCCCCCAAAATGGCCAGAAGCCACTCTTTTTTGCCTGTGTATTTTGGGCTACAGTTAAGTTTGTTTCTTGAAGTTATTCCTTCCTCTTTTGACACACTGACCCCTTGACTTATTGTTGCTTACTTTTTCACACTGTAGTCTACTCACGTCCATGCCTAGGCACTCTGTTTCCCTTCCTGGAGTATAAATGGATTCTGT